GACTAAGCCTTGTTATAATTGAATAAAGCGAGGATCCTTTTATAAATTGTAATACTCTTGGCACAACAAACTCGTTCTCTTCATCTTTATCAATATCAATATGAAATTCAAAACAGAAGGTTTCTATTGGCCGATCGAATAACATTGAAACATACTAGTATTCAAACGAGGTCACTGTGTACTGCGCTCTTTGATTGGCTGGTCAGATTCAACTGCTACTGAAATTTAAAAAGCTGAAGGAAACATATTCGTTTAGCCGAGAGTAAAAACCATTCATACCTTCATGAATTTCACAGTACATCCATTTAAAAAAGTTTATAAATAATTGCTTTTCATTCAAATAATCATCAAGAGATGTGATTGGATGCACAAATCAGCTGTTACCCGGGAAAGGGGTCGTCTGTAAAATTGATGGGACGCGTTGCAGCCGAATGAAAGAAGGACCAAGCAAGTTTACTCCCCCGTGGGTAGAGATGCGCTGTCTTCGAGTCTGAAATCATATCAATTCCTAGACACATGTTGCTGATTTGGAACGCGAGCATGATGGGAATTCGTCGTCAGTTGTGTTTTGGGATAACAACTGTTGAATTTCGAACGATCGACGTCCAGTCAGTGGAGTCGGGACGAAGTGGGATGAGTTCTGCGCATATGCATTAGGACCATTTATCAAGAAACGACACGTGGTCGTCACCAGTCGGCTGTCTAGAACCGAAGTTGTACGTTTTAGCTAGTTCCCGGTTTTTGAAAAAAACAGCACACAGATGAAAATCATATTTTCCCCTTCCGCCCAACGAAGAGATAATTTCAGTCCTGGTAAAACAGAATTTCGGTTTATTTAGGTGTATGTACCTCGGTAGCCACTACCAGTACTCGCAACAGGTGAATAACGGCACCTCTTTTTAGATCGCCCATTCATAATCAAGTCACACTATTATAAAAAGCGTATTTTATTACATGCTCCCTCTTTCAATTAGATTTGTTTACTATCTTGCAAGTTTTTTTTTTTTTTAAATAATCAAAGTTTAAGAACATTAAATTCTAGCTATTCGAAAAAGTATAGCTAGAATTTAATAATAATCTGTTTTCAAAAGTAAACTTTATGTATGTAAGATGCATTTACCAAATTACAGGCCGGATTTACTATATATGTGCAATCGTGCAAAATCATTTGCCGGGTAAATGATCCCCGGCGCTCAGGCACAAACGCCCATATTCGGTCAGTGACATTACAACTGGGAAATTTAAAGCGCGGTGGTCGTCGCGCAGCGCGTGTTCGAATTTCATGTAAATAAACAATGTATTTTACACGTGTTGTATACGTCGCTATGAGTCCCATATCGAACAGGACGCGGCGCGACGACTGCCGCCCTTCAAGCGAGTGTTTGATAATTTTAACAAGATGGCGTATCGTGCCACTTTTTGTTACGTGAAACTGCGCCAATCAGTATGCAAATCAAACCTAGCATTTAGTCCGGCACTAGACCTGGTTACGTTAATGTTCAAGTGGATTTTTGTTTTACCCACAACTGGGTTTTAGAAAATCAACTGAAATTTCACACAGTAAATTTCGATCAACGATAAATAGAAAATGCAATGTTAAGAAAAGTAAACAAATACCTCAATTAATTGTAGTTCCGATTAGTATTACCAAAATACAGGAGATTTACAAATTACAACTCATTACGGAAAGAATAATCAAAACTTGTGTTTAATGATTTGTTTTATTGGTTTTTTGTGTGTGTGCGTATTTGATAAATTAGTTCCTTCTTGAAAATGTATTTTTATGTGCTTGAAAATGTAAATGTATGTAACTTTACTGTATTTACAAATAAGTTTAGTACGCTTAGCCAGCACCATCTCTAAACTAAGTTATACCATATTCTATAAAATCACAAATATTACATCATGTGTCGAATTTGGGAAATATTCTAGATTGTTTTTGCAAATTTCACACATTAAAACTCAAACAATTTGTATCATTACGCACGTAGCTAGAGTTGATGAATTACTACTTTGTTAGCAATTAAAACCTTTCACGAAAAAAACATTAAATACTCTCACTTGCTGAGCCTCATTACAGTTAGCTGGTAAAACTATCGCCCAAGTATCACTGTTTGTCACACGAATTGAATAGTTAGCTGGCTAGGAGTACTGAGCATATTTACATGGAAGTGTTGACCACGCTTCATTTTGTTAAAACGTCACGGACGTCACACAGCGCGTGCGTTCGAATGTATTTTCACACACGTTGTACAGTACGTTGCAAGAAACCTACATCGACGTAGACTAGCGAAGTCTGCTTTGCTTTACGAAATAAATATAATTGTCAATTTAGCCTTCTTAGTGTAATCGCGAAAACTAGCGTTACCGCGAAAGAAATTTCTTTCGTGGTCACGTTAGTTGTTTCGCATTCACGCTAAAAGGACTTAAAACAATTAAAGTCCCGACTTTGCCAGTCCAATATCGACGGCGCGACGACTGTGGTGGTTTAGCAGTATTGAGTGAACAAATTTACTACTTTGTAATATGAAAGTAAAAATAACTAAGTAATGAATACAATAAATATACATAAATATATAAATAGAACTTTGGATAGAAGGTATGACTATTAGT